AAAAACGACAAATCAGTGTTGACTTGAAAACTATTGCTCCAAAAGAACTTAACGAAGTTCTAAGGAAGTTTTACACAGAGGTTAAAACAGAAAAAGGACAGCCCCTGACCCCAAGTGCATTGACAGGAATAAGAGCAGCCATACATCGCCATTTAACATCGGCTCCGCTAAGACAGCGCCTTCATGTCTGCTAACAAAATGTTTGAAGCGAAAGCAAAGCTGTTCACGAAAGAAATGAATGTAAAACCAAAGCATAAACAATCTATCGATTCTGGAGACATGGAATTTATTGAATAAAGTTGAGTGATATTCATTTCTTTATTGATGATAATGAGAAAATCATTTATTTGTTGATGATAATGAGAATAACATAACTTTTGTCGGTCATATTGTTTATTTGCGGCCCTTGTAGCGTCATTTGCACCCTCGCTTCGCTCGGGCGCAAATGAYGCTACTCGGGCCGCAAATAAACAATATGCCCTCCAAAAGTCATGTTATTGTCCTATTAAGTGTTATTTTCAAACATAAACAAAAGCTTGTAAGGATTACCCGTTGATACGTACCCGATTCTCTGAGTTCAGCAATGTTGTAGCAATGCTTTTCATAATGCTTGAACTCCACGCAAAATATCTGGACTTTTATAGTTTCTGGGCAAGGCATAGAGCTGAAAAAGTAGATAGAAATCCTATTCAATACATAGAGGTACATTAATGTGTATATATTAGCTTTGCTAACCTGTCTGTGCTTCCTGAGGATCCAAGATTTCGTCTCTGAAACGACATTTAATAACAATATATTAATAATTATATATAATATCATTGCGAAAATTCTTTGTACGTGCTTGACAACTGTATCTACTTTTCAAAGGACCACGTGCTCCCAACAATCTTTGAGAATTCGAAAATTCACCGTCTTTTATTTCAAACCAATCAAAAAGCACCTTTCATCAAGAGATCATTTTTCAAACAAAAGAAATGATCACAAAAGTTCATGGATGCTTGATAATCATCATCATTTATCATCGTCATCATAATCACAGTTACACTGTTTTGCTACAAGGCTCAGTCGCACGCACATGTGCTTTCTCATGGGCTCCTTGTGTCGCCAAAATGAATGTTGCCAAGGAGGCTATAAATAGCGATTTCAACACCAATCCAATATACCTTGGTTTTTTCAATCATGTCTACTTGATTTCTTCTTGATATTCTAATTCGGGATGAGGCAAGACGGCAAGGCTCTGAAGTAAAAATTATAGTCACTTGGGCAACCTGTGTTACAGTTGAGAACCGCAAAATCCAACGGCAAAAATTCCTCTTAGTAAATGAGTCTCAATCTCCCATAAGAGTGATGATAAACACAACTATCTATCTAAGATACCTAGACTAACCTCCATCGACTTGCATTGGTATTGTTTTAGTTGTTGTTATTACTGCACTTTTACACTGCGCTATCCTTTCACCATGACCACCAACTCTTGAAGCAGCCTGAAACATAATCATTGGTTAAAAACATCAAATATCGCAATCAATCGATCATTCAATCAATACAAAAATACATCAATAAATCCATGAAGCAATCAATCAATCAAGCAATGAATTCATCAATCAATCAATCAGCAATCAATCAATCAAGCAAGCAAGCACATACCAGTGAGGATGACGAGAAACACACGACTTCTAAAAGTCCATCATCATTACTTTGAGGAAGAAATTCCTAAATAACAGAGATAATTAATAACAGCTAAAAAATGCATGTAACATCACTTTCATAATTTCTCTAAGGCATTCTCTTACATCTCTGCCTGGATTTCCCCATGGCGACGTACCACCAGCATATCTATAAAATAATATCAAATAACTATTATTAATAATTAGAATAATCAAAATTAACCCAATCAAAATATCTTACTTTGAAATATTCAAGAATAGTAAAGCCAATGGTTTGATTTCTAGGAGTTTATCAGTCAAACTCACCCCGTCACACTGAAAATTCAAATGCCAAACAAATATTTATTAACTCTGAAAAGAAATAAGCATTTAGATGAATAAACATAATTTTGAAATTTACCTCTAGTGTTGTATATTTGAAAAAATCTTTGGATTTTCCTTGTAAAAATGTTGTACTGCTGGCCTGAAATAGTAAGCACCAACTTAGGAAAAGGTAAAACTTCTAAAAAAAAGATATAATAATTCTTACCTTTCCATATAACATTAAATTCTTTATTCTACTACTTGACTTTCCTGGATGAGATTCTGTAGAAAGTAATTAATGTGAATCAGTTAAATCAATATTTCTAACAGGCTACAGCATAACAAATCTTTTTCAGTTGTTATTTTAATRAAATTGTTGAATGAATCATTAMTTAMTAACACACAAAGAAAGACTGGCAAAAAATTCAAAACAATATTGCAAAAAGTGCAGCAAAAACCTCACCAATGCAACAGTATTTTGATTACCCTGGGTTCAAGAGGCTGGATTTACTCTTATAAACTGCAAGGAAGAGTAAATTGAGCCTCTGGAATCCAGGGTATAATTATTTTTCTTACCTCGCCAGTTATGAAAACCTAAGCAAACTTCAGCATCAAATCCAAAACTAAAATAGTTGTTCATAACATTTAAAGGAAGCTAAAAACAAAAACAAAACAAGAGGTTAATTAATTCTCTGTGATATCCCCATTTGGTTATACAATAGGGAATTTAACACTAAGGTGATCATGTAAGACAAAAACATACCCAGCCACTCCTCCCCCACAAAATTGTCTGTAGAAATATATTGCTATTTTCTTTTTTTACCTTATCTTCAACATCACTGTCATTRTCCTTTTCTCCTCCATCATTAGGACTTACATCAAGATTCCACCTGTTTAATGAATGGATAATGAATGAATATATATAAATACAAAAATGTGAATGGGAAATGAATAAATGAGAAAACGACAGAAAAAAACACAAAATTGGATGAGTGAATGAATGAAGAAATAAATGGATGAAATGGGCAAMTGAAAAGTTTGTGCAGTAAAATGTCATTCACGATCAGCTTAAAAACACACAAACATTTCAAGAGTTATAGATTAATTATCAAACAAACTATCMTTTATCAATATTAATTATTAATGAATATATCTTCCTTACCTATCAAGATGGACAACCGTTCCTTCTTCAACATGAAGCAATATCTTTGACAATGGTTCATCTGCGTAGCCCTGGTGATATAAATTACAAAAATATTAAATTGTAGATGATGACATTGAAAAAATGATTGTGAATGTAAACTTCTGTTCTTTGCTGTCAAAGACTGGTCATGATGACAAAAAATTCCTTACCCCTCCCCAGTTGAGTACTCTTGATAAATCATTACCAGTCCCCAARGGAAGGATAGCAACTGCTGGTAATGGGTTAACCTTGAGTCTATCCAGCTCAGACAGCACCCAACCAACCTGACAAAAGAAAATAGAATTTTACTCAATAATGTAACATGTAATATCTAACAGACAGAGTAACATTTGGATAAATGAAAAGTGATTGTGCAAAGGTTCACCAAATGCCATCCAACATTTTTCAGCCATCCAACATTTTGTCATGTTGGCCACCTTGTCTGTTAAATGTTGTTGGGTTGAGTTTGAAGGCATCAGGCCATCAAATAACTTATAATGTTTGAAGACCAAAAATTATGGGGATGCTAGTGTTGATAATTATCAATTAATTATTTATCATTATTAATGCTTACAGTTCCATCTCCTCCACAAGCCARTATTCTAAGATTGGGCACCTTTCGATAAAGCTCTAACCTGAAATGTTGAAATAATGATTTTATATTCATTTGAATGGGCGGAAGATCACATGAAATGTAAATTCACAGGAAAAAGTCATAAAATAAATAATACAGTCTCCAGATTTTAACAGATTTTGAGTGACAGCTATAAATCAAGGAGTGAATGCTATGACTTATTGAATCAGTCTACATATATAATAGTACATATATAAGTCTGAACAAATTATATTCATCAACTACAGTATCCTTCTTGAATATCCTTACCCTTCTCTGGGTCCTCCTCTTGATAAATCAAATACCTGTCAAAAATAACACTTTTTTAATCTAACGGTGTGTTTGTACATACAGTATATGACAAGGTCAACTAGTATTTAAGTACCATTATATCAATATAACATAGTAAGGCCAAATGGTATTTAAGAACCATTATCAAGTTGTAGATCTGTTGTAGACCAAAATGGTGTCGAAACGTCGAAAAGATACCAGCATTGGTGAGTCAGACAGCTCAATTAGAGAACAAAACATTATCATGTTGATATAACACTTACCTGTCTTGATATAACACAAGGTCAACCGGTATTTAAGAACCATTATATTGATATAACATTTACCTGTCTTGGGTTAAGCAACCATTGAAACTTGTGCATTATCTTTAACCCTTGGTTTCCACCACTCTTAGGGTTAATAAAAACTAATAACGGCTTCTTTTGACTTGTTCCTGATGGTTTAATCTAGGAGGTAAATTAATGAATGRCTTTCAATAAGAAACTCAAGGATGYCCAMTTGGGGGATCTCATGTTGGTTTGAGATTGTCAGGGTTTGACAGCCAAAAAGAAAAAGAAAACTCACCACAAATGGTTTCCTTTCCTGCAATTAAACAAGAAGAGCATTAATTGGAGTTGAAGTAACATTTATATAAGTCATTAGGCCATAAAAATAAACTTAGAGTTTGGTAGTGATTCTCATTTTCTAAGGTCTCTGATAGTTTTGCCTTACAGCGCAGCTGGCGTTGCATGTCACAGCTGTGGCAGTGTTGAGCCAAACTTAACTGATTCATACATGTACATCCAGCTGTTCATGTGCTGTACTCAAACTGTTTCATTCTACATGAGGTGTGCATTAATTAAGGTGTTCAAACTTGCCCTAAGGCCATGACAATATGGAAACCTCTTGTAAGACCTAAAGATTGTATATATATTACCTGTATAAAGACAGCTTGAACATATCTGTCAATGGAGTTATTTCCATTTGTTTTCAATTTTTTATCCTACATTTTATACAATTAATTAATGAATTCTCAAAATACCTTTGTGGATTTTCTTTTCACAGATTTCTTTTTAAAGCTATTTCTCTTAATTGAAGATGACTTTCCATGCTAAAAAAAGGTAAAAGTCATATAATCAATAGTTATTAATCTTTATTAGCAAGTTATTAGTCTTTCACTATGATGAATATAGACTAACATACCTTTTTCGGTATCTTGACTACCCATGATGGGGGTACAATTGTGTTGGCATGGACACCAAGCTCACATAGTTCATCAATTCTTCTCATTGAGAAACATTCCACCTTATTGTGATACTATTGAGATCAAAAATACAAAAAAATATTCATTAAAAGAAAGTAAATAATTATAAATGGTGTAACAAGAGACATCAATCGAATCAATTTTTTTACTGCAGATAATTCAAAACACACATCACTAAATAATGATTATTAATTAACTGCAGTCTTTACTTACAGCAATCTTGCACCAAGAGCAACTTATTGAGATGATATCTTTATTTTGAAATGAAAGCATGTGCTGAAAGGACTAAATAAAACAATTAATTAAAAATCAATTATATCGTTCAATTTATTATAATTATATTAGACTTTAATTGTACCTTTCCGCAATGTTCACATTTTCCATCTTGCTTTCTTCTATGGACCCAGTGATGTCTCATTGAATTCTAAAACATTAAAAAATACAACTTTTAATTATAATACATTCAATAGAGTACAAACATTGAAACTGTGCAACATAAATACTACTAAATACCGCTAAATTATGCTAATTCTATTGTTTTCTATTGTTTAATTAACACTATTTTGTAGTAAATAGTGGAAAGTGTTGAACACATTTAATGTTTTGTACTCCCAATACATTCAATATTATTTATAAAATTAAATAATAATTGATAAATACAATGGAAAATCATTGCCGTGACTAAATCTGTATGGTGAGTATTATCAAATTACGATTATTCACAGGTGGTATACTACTCATTGTTCAATACAAATAGAGAATCATTATTGCATATCGTAAAATTTATATAAATGTAGAATGAGATTAAGCAAATCACCAACTTTAAGCTGTAATCACTGTGTCTTATTATGGACATTTAGGCACATCGCCTTCATCAACAAACTGAGTGTTTTGCACGCTTGGTTTGCTCCATGAAAATTAAAATGAAAGAATGATATTATCAATTGAGTTTAACCTACATCTTGCAATCCTTTGGCTTGAATTTCACGATATGTTGGCTTGCACCTAAAATTGATCTACCATTGAAAGTATAGCAGCATCAGTACTGTATGCTAGAGTAGTTACCTTTTGTCTAGTACTTACTCTTTCTAACTGTTCAATACATTTGGTATGGACCACTATTTTACAGGAAGTACACTTTTTTCTTGGACCAGATTTCTAAGAAAAAATATATGAATGAGTTTCTTGTGATACAAGATTTTACTGGAAATGCCTAAACGAAACCACAATAATACATAATCAACACTTTTATGTCTCTGGTCAAAATGCTCTGGTCTCAGACGTCAAAAGCTCACAGGTAAAGTCTTGCTTTTTTAAAGGTTGATGCAACAAAATTATAACTTACATGTACATGTAGGTTACATACTCTTCGAAAAGTATAATCACAATAGATTTTACAGTCATTCTCGTCCACAGATCATTGTTAGTTTCCCAAATTGACAGAAAATCAACCATAAAAAAAGACCATACCAGTAGCCCCAGAATCTGGTTTTTACAACATGCATACTGATGGCTCATGGGAATTTTTGAGCCAATCACATCAAAGACTTATCCTGTCCARCCATAGCCTCAWTTTTYYATTTAGAAAATGAGAAGGAWCTTGGTACAAGAATGGTTTTAGAGTTTGATAAGTCAGAGTACTTACTGTGCATTCATAGTCTGATAGATAACACAGATTAGCTGAAGCATCAGAATCAATCCAGAAATGTCTACCAATGCAAGCATTGTCCTGCAAAATAAACTATAACTTCTCAGTAAATAAGTTTGAACATTTCATGAGGAAATTGCCAACTTACCGTCCAGTCACAGGTATCAGAGCAAACATCACAGCCATTGCTTTTATCATCTTTATGCTCTATGGGAGATGATGACGACGCCACTTCTCCCTCATACTTGGGTGTTGCCATAGCCCTTCTGTTGAGATAAACAAAAACACATGACTTGTAATAAACATTAAAATAAATAAAGTGGTATTAAGTCATGAAATGCACTATTAATAACACATATAATTATCTACACGTATGAAAATACCTATATTTCTCTCTTTCAAAAAGTGAAAATAACGTATTTGATGTTTCTCTATATATTGGGAGTAAAAAAAATATTATGCGACAAAATTTTCTTTTATACATAATTATATGACAAACAGAATATTACATCGTCRATTGGAGATACGAATTTTATCTTCTCATGTTGAAAATCTTGCTACTGTACGATCACTTGTGAGAGATCGTTTAAACACTTGAACATAAAATCCATATCACCGYGTGCCCATGTAATATATTCTGTATTTGATTACTCATTATTTTGCTCATCGTTCATGTTTTTGGTGTGCTCATGGCACTGCCAATAACTTTGCTTGACAGGTTTATGGAAGCCAAGCTACTGTTGCTGATACACACTAAACATGCTCAATTTTCATCTTAATCTGACTACCACAGCATAGAATAACCATAATTATCATTGAGTACCATAAGATGGAGATAAATGCTTCAAATGCTACGCGCTCTGGCCATAAGTCAGTGGAAAAAAACTTGGTYCATAACTTCCCRTATGGCCCTCGCGCTCGGTTAATAAGATATTAATATATTCCAGGGTCTGACATGGTGACTTATTAAATACAGTATATCGCCTAACCATCGACATACTATTTTGCTTAAGGCATTTTTTAAAGATAATGTCTACAATAACATGCTAATCAGTAGTAAGTTAAGAATAACCTTTTTTTCCAGAATACTCAACTTTTGTCTCATTGAAATCTATTCAGACATAAAGAGTAAGAATTTTCACTTAGTCAAATTAAATTAAAGTCAATGTAATTGTTTTAGCAAAAATCTAACAGAAAAACTTGCTGAAATCATATAAAGGTAAGTGAAAACATATTTGAGAAAACCAAGTTATATTTGTTTTAATATACTTTGCTATTTTGACATTTCAAAGATGGTCGAATGTCAATATCCTTGTGATGTTCATTTGCAGGTTGTTTTACTGTCATAATCACATAATATATTATGCAAAATCCCCCTATTAATCCATGAATTTCTAAAAAGTAAGTAATTTCAAGAAACTTGAAAATAGAAAAAACTGGTATTACTACATGTACAGGTTACAAAAAGATCATTAAATGACAAAATAAGAATAGGAACTGGAATAAAAATGGAGAATTACGACATGTATACAAGCAATATTTAAGTTGAGATATTTTCAGAGTTTAAAACTTTCTTTTCACACCGGTCCCGCAATATAAGTAAGTCATGCAAACATCACAATAATATTGCTGGTTTGAGTAACAAGTTATGATTACCGTTTTTTCTTCATGATTTGTTTTCAAAGAAACACAGAATGATACWGCCTGTTCTAGTGAGCCTTTACAGTAGCTCTTGTCTTCGCCACATATCAATAATTATTGTAATCCAATATCCCTAAGAAGGTTGGAGTCACACAGGTATTTGTTCTCATTCAGATGCTAATTTTCCCATTTTTAATTACATGTCCACTATACCCAAATGAAACAATACAACTGACAAGCAAAATTGAAGCTGTTCTTTCATGGTTTACCTTATCAGTTTTAATCTCTGAATTCAACTCAAAAGATAAGGCAAATATCATATTATGAATCCCACTGCACTGATCTTGGAGTCATGTTACTTCTTCTAACAAAAAATTGTTCAATATGAAACAGAACAAACTTGTTCACTTAAATAAATATTTTTCAGCACTTATTAATTAAGTACAACTTATATTATTTTTCTACCTCCCAAAAGCATAAATATTAATATTTTAATGAAAAATGTATAATTATAAAGAACTTTGAAAACCTGAATCACATTTATTTTTAATGATCGACATCAAAACTATATGATTTAACTTTTTTCCAGATGTTTTCTTTTCAATATTTCAATATCATTTTCTAATATTTCTCCAAGGGAATAATCTAGTTGCAAAGCAGGAAAGATCTTTTTGATAAGTTTCTTCTGATCCATTGAATTTTATATCATCACATAATAATGACCTAGACCATTGAGTAATACAAATTAACAAAAACAAACATTGCTGGGGTCTCAACATGTAAAAATTGTTTTTGCTATTATTATGATAGGAGCCCAGTTGGAAACAGTACTGCTACGATCAGCCAATTTTTATTTCTCATAGATAGACTGCATGTATTTTTTTTCACCTTAAATAATGTCCCAGTAACTCATATTCAACTTAAAAATATTCATTACATCATACAATGTAATATCCAGTTCAAAAATAATTAATCTTAAATGTCAACATAATTACATAATATGACATATTACATAAATTATTGGCACATACGCAAAAACACACTTAATTATTACCATAAAGTGTTAATTTCTCTACTAAAGATGATTTAAAATTTTTCACTTCAGACATTCACACATTCTAAATGTGGTAAAAATGTTAGAGCAATATAATTATTTGACAACTGGATGGAAATAAGGTTTAAAATAGGACTATTTGGACTTTGTTTGGACTTAGCAAGGTAAATCATACATAATTAATGATGGGCATAATGTAATACACCTGTTTTCAAAGATGTTATTCTATTAGAAAATAGCATTCCTGGCAAAAGAACAATGTAAGAATACATTTTGACAAGATGCAGGGATTTCCTTCTTCATTTCTCATTCTTCTACTACGCAGAGAGGCAGGGATTTCCYCTTTTTTTTCTCATTCTTCCAACAGCTTTTAGCTAAGAATGCCACTCAATTGATTTTGCATTGATTTTATAAGGATTTATCCAATAGAAAGCACTTATCCAGCCTTTGTACAACCATGACCAGTACATATCCAGTTACATAATAATATGGCCATGTCATTATCCAGTTAGCATTACCTTAGAGATATAAGTATAAGCTTTTAGATAATAATTGGATAGCTTRCTAATTTAACAAACCATGAACATAGCTTTAGCTAGTCAAAACTACAGTATTTTTAAGGGTTTTTTTTAAAGGAAAGAAGAAATATGTTATAGTTGGTGGAAAGATAATGTGGTCATGTACATGTAATAATAATTTGAAAAGTTTTCAATGAACAAAAGAGTCGAATAGTCATTAATTCATGCAGGGCAAAAAATAATAGCAAGCCAATGGAATATAACTAGTTAAAATCTCAGTTTGACTGAAGARATTTCTGTTTCTGCGACTGGACATCATATATGCTTTGACTGGTCAAAGATGAGCTTCGCAGGACATCATATCCACCCACTCATATGCCATAATTATGTATTTTTTTGAACTGGTATCAAAACAAAATGGAGATTAAAGTTCTTTGTCTCTGATTTATATATATGTATTCATTTAGAGATGCTTCGGTCTTCTATTATAGATCTTCATCAGGTGTTAAATGCTTATATGTATCAAAAACAAGGAAAGAATCAAAAGGGATTGAAATAGAATAGGAATCAATAGCTGCTAATTCAATTAACGTATGATAGAACACAGATAATGACAAACATAAGCTTGGTTAAAAATTAAACAGTTTAACATGGATCTGAAGCTTATTGTTAATGCACAGATATRTGACAAACTGTAAGTAGCATAGGAACTAAAAATGTTCTCATTGAATTTAAGTCAGATAGTGTTGAACACAAAGGAAATTTTCATTACTTCAGGTGMACGACAATATTAACTCCTGTACAGCCCTGAGGCCTCAGTTCCATTCCGTTATTATTACTATTTCAGTTTTAAATTCACTTCTGTCTTGCATTTTGCACTTGTATGGCAMTAATGATGGAATTTTGAGCAAATAAATTGTTAAAAATCCCACTTTCATGATTGCAAATTCAACTTAGATTAAATTATCAACGGAAAACAGAAATAATATAATAAATTAAAAAAATGAATAACGAATAGAAGATTTGATTTTTTTTTTTTTTTTCATGTACAAATATTTCATTGGTTTTCAAAATAATATAGAGTTTATTATCAAAAGAAAAAATATTTACTATAATAGAAAGAACAACAGGTATGTCTGAATATTTAATAATTCATGCAGCAATCTGATGTCGGTCTATTAAAATGAAATATTTCCCAAGCATTTGTAAAAACAACAATCTAAAACATACGTTGCTGGGTGAAAAACAACACATTAGCGCATATTAATAAAAAGCTTTGACAACATTATTTTTTGGTACAAATTTAAAACATTAAATGATATTTTAAAAACAAATACATTTTTTTGATAAAATTGCTAATATTCTTTATCAGGAAATACAATTTGACTTCGCCGTTTTACACAGATAAAAGTTGTATCACAAATYCTTTAATCAAGTATAACATCTTGATACTTCGTACAGAAGAACTTTTATAATTTCAAAATATCATCTTTAAATGCAAAAATTCAAATAAGATTAATCAAAATTAGTTAGACTTTCGCGAATCCAACTTCTATTTACGATAAATWATTTAACTATATCTCTGGTGCTAGGCCAAACTCTGTCTTTAAATATTCAGCACCTAATAAATGTTTTCTTTTAATTCCCTAGCGACTGAGGATCAAGCTTTATCCTCACACGACTTTAATTTATAGCTGAAGTAAAAAGCGATCAAATAAACTTTAAAAGAAGGGAATGTCATCTGGTCAAGCTGCCGAACTATAGCACCTTGACTTGATAACAAAACTAAGGCAACACAGCTCATTTTATGTTAATACATAAAGTTATTCAATGTAAATAATTTAAGGTCTAAAACTTACTTGTATGAGCGTGATTTAGCCCCAGATCGAGTAAGTTTCGAGGCATTTTCCTGAGGATTTCGTTTTTCTTCTTCGACTGAGTTGACTGCAAGAGTGTTTTCTTTGTTGCTTTTCATATTCCTTGATATTTTGCACAGCCCAACATCACAGCAAATGTGGCTCTAATATAACAAAAGAAATTTTGAACTCATTTATGGCTTTTCGCCGTCAAATGAAGGCAAATTTGTCGCTCATTGTGGTTTTTGCAAGTCGCCTCACAAGAAACTTAGTTTAGCAGTGGAGTGTTGACTAAACGAGCAAACTTGCAATGCATGATGGTCAGCGCGGGGGCGAAATAACTCACCTTCGAATTTCCCATTCAAATGTCAAAAATATAAAATTATTAAACATTATTAATCTCGCGAAGAGTAGTTTTTTTGGAGCTGACTGCTCAAATCATTCTACGCTTCAGATGTCACACAATGGACCAGGAAATGCAGGCAAAACTGAATGTTCTTTCACTGTTGGTCGATTGGGAACTATCGAAAGCTAACTTAGGCTTCTTTTGTGGGCGCGAACTAGAGATGGTTATTCCCCCCGCGCATTATATTCCTACTTTAATACTTATTAATGCATTTTCCTCAATGAAATAAGATATTTGTTCATCAATAAATAATTGACATAATATACTGAAGAATTTAGAAGGAGTACCTTATACTTTAAGCCATCATAAAATCGGGAATGAGTAAATGGTAGAACGACATGATTTTAAAAAGTGCSGTTGTCGAGGGCCCTTGAATATATCAATTTTTTAAATCAAATCAAATTAACCTAACGGCGCCAAGCTCTTCGATAGCGAACAAAAAACTTGCATCAATAAAAAACCTCTGKTAAGTCCGTCATCGATAAAATGCGTTAATACAGGAGACACACATTTGACAGGTCATCAACGGCAGGCGTGTTCCTTCCAAAATATTCATTAACATTTTGCTATAAACCGCTGAAATGACTATTCTAAGCTTTTATATCTAAGTTTACTTTCAGCTTTGGTTTCAAGGAGTTTACAGGGAAATTGTTGAAAAGCTTATAATGTTGCCACGCACTGAAAGGGAGACCTCCTCGGGATCCTTACGCGTTATATGGGTATAACCTCAAATCTAACAATCAAGGCACAATGGTCCAATAAATATCACTAAGACGCATTAAACTAAAGTATATTTCACGGTTTTTTTATGCGCATCATCTTAGAGCCCAATTTGTCAATGACTACTGCTGACACTGGCCTTCACACCCATCCTAAGTTCCCTCCCAAGAACTGTCGATCCCARATATCTTAAGCGCACAAAGATTCGTTTTCACAGTGTTCCTGTTTCATAGTCCCCTTTTTTCGCACCTATTCAGGCGCGTAGCGCGTACTTTTTGTTGAGTACGAACATGTAGCGACCCGCGAAGACGGTAGTGTTAAGGGTTGTCTGGGGGTYCTCCCCAGGAAATTTTGAAATAATAACTCTTGGAAATGCGATTTCCAACGTTTTGAGGTTCTTTTTGATAACGAAGGCTTGGTACCAACCAACCGGTTGGAGCAAGCAAAGGCAATTATATAAAAAATCCCGAAAATTGTAATATTTCCTTGCCACTTGGACGCATGTGTGTATATGCGTAAAGGAAGCTACGCGCCTGCCATTAGCTTTATAGGTCATTTATGGAAGTTAAAAAAATCAAGTTTRCAAAGTCAATAAAAAAGTAGAGGCTTCTGAATACTTTTTAGTTTTTATTAAACCTTTTACACTTATAAAATGAAGACACAAAGCAAGTAAATTAATCTATAATTAGTCAAGTAAAAATATCAAATCAGGACATACGAATCAGCATTTTAGAAGCTTTGCGTCTTCACTTTTAACATGTATTTACACAAATCGTTCACAAAAAATGATTCATAAAAATATAATCTAGTGATTAATATATATTACTATGGATAGAATATAGACTCGGTGATTGTCTTGTCATGAGGTCAATACCTTCCTTGCAGGGAGTCTGTCAATCAGTTGGTTCTCCAAACAGGTGGAACGTATCTGATGTGATAATCTCCATACATCCTCTGATGTCTATATTTTAATATATTTCTCTTTTCCTATTAAATCACTATTATATCCCTCAACCCTCTTGAGCCTGAAGAAACCCAATCAACTTACTTAACGTATTTCATTATTGCAGCCATTATCACTATAATTATGACGTCATAAAAAACGTCACAACGCTACATGTGTAATGATCATTGGTCTACTGGTCAAAAAAACGCTGATGCCAAAAAGGAGTTGATTTTGTTATCTTTTGCTCTCTGTAGACGGATGCAATCTATATGTATGTCTTTTTTCCGTGGACAATATAAGTTACAAACCAAAAATTGAGAACAGTATGAATTGGAGATGAGAGGCTCTACACTTAACTTATGAAAGTGCATTTCAAGATACTGAAGATACATCGTTTTTGCAATGTTTGGTAGGGTAAATGACCTGAAAACTGATAATTTTGTCGCTATTTCTATTTTTGTGCCTTTACTTCATTACTATATTTATTTCGTGGATTCGCTTCATGGATGATTGTTTCAAACGTCGAATTTTACATGTTTTTACGCATCTTCGGTCCAATGTGAGATTGGGCGTTTAGAAACGGACTAAAACGCAAAATATTCATATAAAACTAAATGAAAATGAATGGAAACAGATGGGAACTATACTGGTTTACTTGTACATTGTGCAGGATTTTCTTGTAAAAGAAAAGACATGCTGCCATTTCTAAGGTTTTTTCTCTTTAAAAGCAGCTATTTTTAATCGGGGATTAACGTCCAATGCGTCAAATTACCAATGTTACGCCATGAAGGTAATACAAGTCGTGGGGAGAGATCAATTCATCAAATCCTGACAGCTGTAGACGGTCTATAAAAACGTACTGTAAAATGCACTTACAACGTTTCAAAATGTCCATTTCAATTAAAAGCATTAGCRAAATACAACAAATCTTACAAAAAGCCGTTAATGTGTCCTTTTGACGATTTTGAAGTACAGTATTTTTACTCCTAATGAAACAAGTACAAAACACTACAATGCGCACAGTTAAATGGTTTCCCTCGTTAACCAATCAGATAACAAGATGGCATTTTTCACCAATCCGAAAAGACTCTTGACAGCCCATCAACAGGAAAAATGCACTTGAAGGGCTTTTAACTCACAGACAGAAAAAGAAAAATTAATGATACAAACCAATCAGTCAAAATGATTTTCATCTGAAATATCAACATGAGAAAGAATTTTATTGACCGAGTTGTCGGCCTATGAGGAATGTATTTCGTATCAAAAAATCTAATGAAACGAGATCACAGCACAGCACGTCATAAATCTCGCAAATGCGTGGAATAGCTGTTACTTCATTTGGATCGAGTGAGACTCAGCTCACAAAGGAATCCCATAAGAGGTGAATGACGGAGACACGTCAACACAGGAATCCCAGAAATCACCTCACTGACCCGTGTGCGAACTGGCGGGATATAAATGCGCTTGTTGAACACTGGAATCCCTATAAAAACTTTCATTATTATATACACTAGGATATTCCCTTCAATAAAGACGATTCTAATGTGATATTGAACTCAACCAAGGCAGTAAGGACGTCCACAAGAAACTGTACAAGAGCAGTATCGCGGAGGAATGAACTAGTATCGTACATGTTGGTAGCAGCAGGACAAACGGAGATGAGCTCTAACCAGTTATGTAGTAGATGGTCTCGCGCACCGAGACAAACGAATAACTGAAACTAAAATATCAATAAATGTTGATTTGAGGCTCGTTTCAAACATAATTATTATGGTGAGGGACTAACGATGGATAAAGACAACACCGAACGTACGCAACTGAAAATGACTACTACAACAACAGCAGCAGAAGTACCAACAACAACAACAGCAACAACAACAGCAGCAACAACAGCAGCAGCAGTACCAACAACAACAACAACAGCAACAACAACAGTAGCAACAACAGCAGCAGCAACAACAACAGCAGCAGTACCAACAACAACAGCAGCAGTACCAACAACAACAACGGCAGCAGCAACAACAACAGCAGCAGTACCAACAACAACAGCAGCAGTACCAACAACAACAACGGCAGCAGCAAAAATAACAACAGCAGCAGAAGAAACAACAGCAGCAGAAGAAACAACAGCAACAACAACAGCAGAAGCAACAAAAAAACAGCGACAACAACAACAGCAGTAACAACACTGAACAACAGCAGCAGAAGCAACAACAGCAGAAGCAACAATAAAAACAACAGCAATAGAAAATATAACCGAATCAAGGCAAAAATATAAGCATACTCATTCTGCATAATACCTTGCCATCTTTTCCGATGGTCTGCGATGAGTTATTGATCCGTGTGATCATCGTACAAAAGTTCTTTTTGGCGTTATGGAGGTGTACCGGGATCCCTGTATCATCTTCGTTCATCTGTAAGTACTGGTGTGCTTTCTCTGTGAATAAGTCACTTGTTATCAAACAATGCTAAGTATTTACACAGTCTAGACTATAAATCTTCTTMAATCTTTTATCAAATCACATCTTTGGAAATAAATTTCAATCCATTTTTAGAACTTCAAGTCATTTTTACCAGGAAACCTCCAAGAAGGAGCACAAAGACTTGCGCATCCAAACACAGACTTACCTAAGATATCCCAAATGAAGAAATTATTACGAAAAAGACGTGATGATTTGAATCCACACTGGAAAACCTATAGAAAACGATTAGATTTAAATTTAGATTAAATTTAGATTTCCAATCACTGGATCAGTAAATGGATTAGCCTCCTCCCCGATATTATGTCGGGTTCCCTGTGGAAAGATGGAAGAGGAGGGGTAGGCCGAGGAAGAGGACGTGCGTAGTCGGTACTAGTCCTACTTCTTCACTGAGTTCACACAGGAAGCCTGACAGCAAACTATTTTAATAGAATAAATAAAAAAAATTAAAATAAATAATAAAAGAATATGTTCTCTTACTTGCTCTAAAGCTTGGCACAGACCGCCATCTCCACAAAGCAAGTATGTTAGATTCTCACGCTGTTGAGAATAATATTGCAATGAAAAACAAAGAAAAAGTTCCAACAGCTGCTCTTCATCTAGTGAATAATCTTTTCCCCTCAATCTTACCTCCTTGTCGGGTTTATAGAAATATTTAACAATGTTGTTTACTGAGTCTGCCACCTTTTCCTGGACATCAGGGATACGAGTTCCTGGTAAACCATAACATTCGATCAAAGATTAGTCTTACTCTATGGTACATAGCTTACATTGTTCTGTATAACGTGAACCCTATCCGTCTCAGTTTATATTTTCAATCTTGGAACACACCGACGATCGTTCGATTGAATGTGGGAGAATATTATGCTAGTTATAATGATGCTGCAGATTAGGCTTACATGGTAAAGTAAACTGTACCTTGATCCCTTTGTAGATCCCTACACCTCGATCCCCAAGATAAAGTTGTGATCCCATAAACCCCGATAAATACGATGGTATTCACTTACTTTCGCTATTTCGTCGTGATAACACAGGAGATCGTCGAGATGGTGACAGACGGCATACCTCCGCGAGGTTGTTTTCTAAACAAAATCAGAGTATTTGACTCAATACTCCAGTTTCGAGATCTTTGTGCAGCCTTAACCTCGAAAGCATGTAATATATTCTTTTATTCAGCAAAGCTCMTATTGTAATGCATACACTCTGTGTATAAAAAGACAATGAAAATTTATGCTTGATTGAAGCTAAGCTTGCACAAAAGAGAAATCGAAACTGGAGTATTCACGATCCGTCAACAAAGTGGGGTATGACAAGGGAGGGAAGGGGGTTACAAGGGATAATGTCGGATATCTAGCTTCCTGCACAGACGTCTACGTCTTGAGTTAAGAAATTCGACATCAGGAACGGCTGCACAGGAACACAASAAATGATAAAATTCGGATTTATGGCTCAAAAAGTTACAATAAGATCAACAGGCGAGCATCCGTGGGTCTCATTAATCAGGGTCTGGAGCGTGGAAGGAAGTATCTTATCACGAAGTGGACATTAAAGTCAAATGCAAGCAATCAAATAGTCAATTATATCCCTAAATCTTTGGGAATTTATAACTATTTAGCTTGAAATACACGTTAATTCAGCAATTTCTCAACGTGTCTGGACACGGTGTSTTGAAGAAAGGAAAAAATCAAATATAACATGTTGAAACAGGCCATCGACCAAGCCAATTATGACGTCAAAGGAAGTTATACGACATCTTGGAGGCTTTGACTGGCTATATTACGTTTCATAACTTGGAAATCCTATCTACTATATCCGACGAGAATTGCATTAAGATTTCAATAAGAAATACTAAAAATATTATCAAAATTCAATGTTTATCAACGATTTGAACTTGGCGTTAGAAGACCCTCGAATTGCTGACGTAATATAATTATATAACTGGGGGCTATATTTCCCAAAATACTATAACATGTGAAGCCATCTGGTAAATAACATGTAGGATGGATCTAATAGTACTAATAAAGCAATATATGGMGTTTTTGACCTATAAATAAAATTTTACGAGTTAAAATGATTAAAATGTCTAACATCTCGTGATCAATGATGCAGGGGAAACCCTTCCCTACACTTGACTATGTCACACAATCCACTCAGGCGTTACGCTATATATCTTATATGCGCAAACAAGACCATTATGTTTTCTGCTCGCGAAAACATTGTACATTCATACCCTAGCTGTTACAATATTCATAATCAGTGGATATGAGTGAGCTTGTTATCTGATTGGCTACTCCTGCCAGGATATGGGCTCATATCCATGAGTAGATAAAAATGACACTGTARAAAATGATTATCGTGTAGTAGTAGCGGATCTAAAATAAGAAATACAACAGAATTCAATTCATAGTTTTTTATTATTCAATATACAAAACATTTTTAAATAGAATATTTTTGACAGAAACTCGCATTTTTACAAATATTGTGCATTGAATATTTAACGTGAGGGCAAGAAATCCGTGAAATGAATATATTGATTTTATTTTTGTCTGTGTCAGCACTCAGTTCACCTTGACTATCCTACCGAAGAATGTAGACTGAGGTTCGAGAAACACACTTGTCTTTACATTCCTGATCTAGCCGCATTTGACATAATGGAAAAAAAAACTATTTTGGTATCCAAGAACTTTATTTTAGGCTCAGTTAATATTCATTATCTCATCTCAGGAATCTTAGCACTTGTGGCACACAAATGTCAAGTTAGATAATTGTGTTTTCTAGATTCACATTCTCGATCTAACTGCTTCTGTATAAGGCATATTTTCGCAAATTTAATGCCCTCACTACTACGTATGTGGCATGTTTACCCACGAAAACCTTATGACCTTTCGACGCGCCGCGCGCACACCGTTCACAATAATTAATGTTCAAATTGTCATTGAGCTTGAAATTCTTCTAATACGTTCATTACTAACAACAGCTATTTGTCCAAGTAAAGCTTGAAACACGCCATTTACATTGATAGCAAATTTAGCAGATGTTTCTGATCGTATCAAGTTCTCTCCTCCAACAAGACACGAGAGTTTTCGTCGCACTTTTTCTCTCTTGTCTTTCGTGACTAAGTCCGTCTTGTTGCCTACTATAACCACTGGAACTTCACTTGTTCCTTTTATGTCAATAATTTCCTGACGGAGACGCAACACTTCTTCGATACTATTATCGTCTGATAATGAATAAACTAAGATAAACGCGTCTCCACGTCCGATTGTCAATCTCCTCATGGCGGGAAACTGGTAAGACCCAGCGGTATCGAGAATCTCGAAAAACGCTCCAAAGTCTTTATTAATGGAAACAGTTTTCTCGTAAATGTCTTCAACTGTAGGCGTATAATACCGAGGAAAATCGTCCATTACAAATCTCTGAATCAACGATGTTTTGCCAACTCCTCCTGCACCTAGTACAACAACTTTAAAGACTGAGCGAGGAAGCGAAAGTACTTCCCATGATGCATGTCTGGGTAGTCTGTCTCTCAAAGTTAACCTTCTCAGCTTGGATTTCATCTTGGACAAATCGGACAAGATGCCCTTAAATTGATTCCTTGTGTTCCCTATCTTGTCTGTAAATTACGAAAGAAAATAATGCCGTCTTCTCTAATCTCCTTAGTAGTGGTGTTGTCTTGCGCAAGTGTTCCTTATTGCTTTGTAACGCGACTGCTTTCAATGAATTCTTCAATAAAATACTCGAGAATTTTCTGGTTTGCGTAGTTGTGGAGTGTTTCACTCTCTGTGACAGTGCGGTTATGACTGGCTAGGCTCTTCAGACAGGCTTATATAGCAACCCGGAAAATATGAGAACTATGTCATCCGTGTATTTTAAGAATGAGGGGGAATAATGCAAGATTTCTTATAATCGTTGCAATCTTTCAACGCTTCAACCTGTCAACATCTGGACATAAACATTCACAAGACAAAACAACGCGTTAATGGCTACGTCAACTACGTTTGTTTCCACTTTGGCTCGTGAAAACATTGTATTTGTTGTATTTTCGCAAACATCTGTACATTTGTGCTTTGTGTGGTCACTATACTAAAATTAAATTAGCTTGCCAAGATAAAAAAAAAGATGGTTGAAAATGTAGAGATAAATGAAAATATGATAGCACACGTGTTATCCAATTCTAGTCAAATATTCCCCACTCATCATATCCATCAATAGCAGTGGAAAAATACTTTGTCAGCATTTCACTCCGGAAAAAAATACCTCAATGTAATTGATCCTTTATTTTGATTATAATATTTCAATCACCATTTAGATACAATTRGGAAGCAAACATTTTTTCAGGGACAGTTTAGTATTTCGCATGCACTGGCAAACTTTTTGAAACTTCAAGGGAAACCCCCACACGTCCTCAAGGAAGTRAAAAATATTAATATTGAAATAAACGTTAATATATATGATATACAAAAATGGCAAAAAGACATGAAAACATAAATATTTCATTAGCTCTTTTGTGAAGCAAAGACGCTTAATATAGACAACTGCAACGTACTGAATTTTACGTTACAGTAAAGACGWGTAAACCGGAAAAAAACTATCATGTTTAAGCTCGTCACAGTCAATATGATGTAAGTCCCTAAAATTACGGAAGACAGCGATCGTTTCTTCCTTGTAATGCCGGTTGGCAAAAGCACACTGATTTCACTTGCACACACACACAGAAAAAATATATATATGATATAAATAAAATAGAAAATTACAGAACAAACTACTGTATTTCCATGATGTAATTTTCACTACAATATTGTTTCGTATGGTCCAGAGGACCACACTCATCAGGTGAAACCAATTAATTAATTACAGCTCCGACTTTTATATTGTCGTTGAGCACTTTTTTAGTTTTTTGATGAAATTTTTCATATATATATATATGATATATATATGAACTGGACCCTCTTTTATATTGCGCGCAAGGAAATCTATATTTGGTGAATCAACGTGTACTCAACGGTCCATTTTCTTTTAGCGCGCGCGTTAGATTTYTAACTTTTACATATAATAAYATWKTAATTGAAAAAAGTTCTGGACTACAAATRCGAATGCACAACAAAAATTCCTAGAAAATCCCCGACTTYAAAAGAARCAGTGATATAATTGGAAAACCGAAGCCTGTTATGGATCGATTCACATGTATGATCTGTTATGAGGCTGGGGTGATCCCTGATTAAAACGTTAGAATGATCACTACATACCTCTACCCTATAACTACGGGGTAGGATCAGGAAATAGTTAGATAAGTAGATAATAGAGTGGTTGGAAAACCTCGGGGATTACAATCATGTCGATATTGACAATACTTTGTTAGCAGACTGACAATTAATTTTCTTCCCATTCATTGGGAGAAACATTGCGGTGTTGTATAGAGACTATAGACATTCCATAAGTACGTGTATAAAACCAAGGYAGACATCACKCTAGATGCCGCTACTCCAAGGGTGGTAGGACCACACCCAGATCAGGGGTATAGCCGTGATAGTGTGACATTGAGGTTTTAGTTAMATAAAGGTTAGATTTAAGCGGAATAATCTTGTTAGTTGGTTAACAATATCATGGAATTCGTAAAGAAATATTTGATGACCGCTCGATGTCTTATCAATAAGCCTTGATCTGGTGAAAATATTTAATAAAAGTTATTGGATGCTGTTATATTTAGAAATATCTTGTACCTGAAAAATGTCAATATTCACGGAGATATGAGTAGGGTCTAAATATTTGGTATAAGTCAATACTACTACAAGACAATATTTTTCTTTCAAAATAAAACAACGTGAAAATATCATAAATATCAAATAGAATAACACTCTTCTTTTGTTGTTGTTGCTGTTGTTTTTTTCTTTTACTTCAGAAGGTAGTCAACTTGAGACAACAGCCAACAATGAAAGGCTGGGCCCTAGAATGTAGGCGAGTTTATGCACTCTTAACAAAAAATCGCTCGCCATTGCGGTTAGACTAGACAGGAACGAATGAGGTGATCTATGTATTAAGCCACTWAAATCAAGTATAAGATTATTGCAATTGCAAACATCGTATGTCAATAACGTGGTTGAACTTGGCTGTGTTGAGGACTGTTCGTYATAGACCAGTGAAACAAAATGCGGTCTCATTCAAACGGTAAAAAACGAAACGAATTTTTTGTTGCATATTACCAAATTCATTCATAATTGATAAGGTAAACACAATCGAAAATCATTGCATCTTTATATGAGCAAAAGATTTGTCCTGATTTGCATACGACTTTAACTTCGATTTTCTCTTACAAATGATATTTTATCCTGAAGTTTTTTTCGAAATATGCTTTACCTTATGTTGGAATTTGATAAGCAATATAAAATATTCGCGTCCGACCTTTATGGGCTATAAAACTGCTCGCTTGCAGCTCGCACGCAGTTTTAATGCCCATGAAGGTCTCCCGCTCATATTTTATATATTACATTATGGTTTCATTAATTGCGTGCTGCACTGACTTTTATACTCTATTATACTCAAATTTTTCTTAGTCTTTCTGGTGAATCACACTTAGTTTCACGGGTTTATGAAAACAGCTAATATTGAAAATAATAGCGATATGATAGACGCAAATGACAGAACATAATCGAGTTAGTACTTTCGACATTAAGAACTYATAAACCCAAGTAGGATTTTATGGTACATTACGTACTTTTAGACCATTGATGTTTAATCTATTTATCGTCTTAACCTGTATTCTGTGAACCTCTTACAGTATATATCCTAGAGACTGATACTCTGTACTTATTACATAATACTGTCATATCTTAGGTTATTTGGTACACTTAAGAACCGCCAGACTACTACACTAGATCGACAAAAATAACTTTCAAAATGTTTTTAAAAAACTCGTGTGATTGTTATCGTTGAGTAATGTTTTATCCCATGTTTAATAAGTATGATAAAGACATATTAACGAGTAAACAAAGCCTCCGAGGATAAACGTGACAACCCCCAAGTTCAAACCACGTTTTTTACATAGTTATAGTTTAACCTTATGTTAGTCAAGAATTACTCAGGGATAAGGAATCTATAATATTCTCGTGGTATGACTAGCCTGTATATCATGTGCAGATGTTTATATGTTAATTAGCTGATAGTTTCTTTCATTAAATAATCGTTCAAAAGTGCTTGCAATTATCGCGTTGAAAGACTCCACGTTCTCTAGCTCTTGTGAAAAACGCGGTTGAAAGTAGACTCCGTCATAATAATATCATGTTGATGGCCTTTTACAGAAAAACGATGCTTTTAAATAAAAAATGTATCAAAAGAAAATAGATAAAGTTAACTATCAATAAACTAGACGCATATCTGCGTGAACTCCAGGTTCTGCTTGATTGTAAACGATGAAGTGACAACAGTTTGTTAAGTGTTGTAGTCGAAGAATTGGACTGTATTTGGGACTGTATTGAACCTTCTAGAACTCATTATTAATTCATGAGCTATTAGTCCAATGAGCATCGAACTATTGGGTCACATGATGTACCTTATGTAATGTTTAAAGTCCGACAATGAGGACTGGAACTAATTGCAAGGACTTGAAATCCCGTCCAGTCCGAATTGGAGGACTTTGAACGACTTCTCATACTCATTAATTATTCGGGAGGGGAAAAAAGCGAAGGAAATACATATAACAGAAATATATTGATTTATTGCATCTCCACCAAGGTTTTCAGTTTTCATAATTTTGAATAAAGAAGCACCGTTTGTTGTTTTCCAATTCCCGAACGGCTTTCTGAAACAAAAGCTTTTCAAATTGTCTTTGTTTGCTTTTCATGGCATTCCTAATGAGCCTAATTCATAAGTTTTATAAGTATGTTATCTTCCAAGGAATCGTATCAGAAACTCGGTGGTGTAATGGTATAAGACGGCGCATATAGATTGGACGGTTCGGGATCGTTTCGTGAGGGAGTCATTTATCAAAGACCTTTTTTCACTAAATTAATTCTATATTAAGTTAATTATTTCTAATACTTTGATTATCATTAGCTAGTAGTAGTTAGAAAAAGCTAGAAGTAGCTAGAATCAAGGTAAGAGTAACTGGAAATAAGATAGAAGTAACTAGAAACAAGGTGGAAGTAACTGGAAATAAGATAGAATACAAGGTAGGAGTACTTCCTCTGGTATCCAGTTACTGCACGTGGTACAAATTACAATCAGGGATTGGCTAGATACCTCATGAATAATTAATGAGTATGAGAAATCCCGATAAAGCACTGATGTTTTATTAATCAGTTCTATATCAGATATATAGAACTGATGTTTTATTAATCAGTTCTATATCAGATATAAAGAACTGATGTCCAAGGTCATCAGCGCTTTATTTGATTTCTGGATGTTAAAGTTCTAGAAGTAGTATAAAGAACTCAAGAGTGTGTTTTATCGGGACTAAAAACAGCGTAAAGCAAAAAAATACTTCCAGAAATGAAAAATGATAAAAAAGTAGTGCACTCGGCATTAATATTATGAAAAAATTGATCATCAGCAGCAAGCCGTTCTCACTTTGATAGTTATATGGCAGCTTGCATTTCTTAGATAAGTCCTTGTAGTTTCAGAGCCTGCATAAGTTCGTATATAGTTGGCTTGTGCTAAGATAGGTAGCTTGACATCGATAGACAGTAAGTTAAATTTCACAATATAAAGTCTCTCGATAAATTCGCGATATCTCTTTTAAATGCCCTTTCGAAAAAACGCGCGGCCTATTTTAGTGTGGCTATACCACGAAAGTGTGGATTTGTAAGTGATTTGAGCGTATTTGTAGACATTGAATCTATTTCTTCTTCCATCACGCGTTACACTCTACCTGTGGGCAATTTGTGACTGATAAGCGACGACGAAAAAGAAGCCCGAAATTTAAACTCGGGATTCCTTTGGAAACCAGAGTAACAATGTTGTAGTTTATTAGAAAAACAGCAAAAAGGCAAATATTATAGAAGCGGCTACAAATTATAAGGTATATATAACTATGTTGCTCAATTTTTATGATGTTATCTTGTTGATCAAATAAAATTTTGTTATGGTGTACTATATATAGTGTAGTCTTAAAATATCGCGACGAATGAAAATAATTCTACCATGAACGTGCATATTGAACCATGAGAACCATGAACGTGAGTGAACCTTCAAAACATTTAACAAAGAAAACAGATAAAAAGAGATAAGCCAAGGATAGAAATAGAGAGGCTGATGGTCATATACGCAAAGGCATTAAGAGGAGTCAAACAGATGATTTTAAAAAAATATTTATTTAGAACTAAAACCAGCACCAGATGGTTGCGTGCTGTTCCTGCAATGAGCCCGAGTAAGTTTCGCAGTAAGGCAGCCCGAGTATGGAGGATTTTTAAGGTAAAACTGGCCCCAGAAATGTACCTTGA